ACATACGCCCTTGTTAACTTTTGCAGTTCAGGAAAATAGACTGCCTCGCGTACGCGTTGGATAGTTTTTCGAATACCAGCATGAGAAGCTAAAGGGCTGTCATGGAGCTCCTGCAGGATATTTAATCTAAGACTAGCTGGGATAACAGGTCGAAATTCGTTGTTGGAATTCGTAGTTTTTGTATATAAAATAATAGACCATCTATTAGTTCGTAATGGGCCGCCCTATTTCTTATCGCCACAATATCTTGGTGGCTAAAATTTTCAGGATCCTTTAAATACTCATAAATGCTTCCAAACTCAGGATCCTTACCCAGTTCGGTTATTACAGTTTCTCGGGAATTTATTGTACATGCTGTGAGCATTGCCACCTTTACAGTATTACCTTCTTCATCTATTTTAATTCTGGATAGGGCATCTGCTACGATATTTTCCTTTCCGGGGGTATGCTTGATTACCAGATTATATTCTTGTAGCTTGAGTGCCCATCTTATTAACCTTGGGGATAAGTTTTTCCCTGAGTACAATCTAGTTACCGCCGCATGATCAGAGTACACTGTTATTGGCGCCTTTCCAAAATAGACTCGGAACTTTTGCACTGCTAACAGAACTGCAAGTGCCTCTCTCTCGGTCGCGGAATAGTTTCTTTGTGTTTGATTTAAAGTTCGGCTAAAAAATGCCACTGGCTGCTGATTTGCGAAAGTACCGCTCCTACCGCATAATCCGAAGCATCCGCTGAAATTTCTAAATTCTCATCCTTTTCAGGAAATTTCAACACAGGGGCTTGCGTTAATGCTTGTTTTAAATTTTCGAAAGCACTATTGGCTTCGGCCGTCCACGAGAATCTTGCCTTTTTTCCTTTTTAATTTTAACAATGGTTCAGCAATAGCTGCAAAATCTTTTATAAAGGACCTATAATATGAACAAAGTCCTAGAAAAGAAGAGAGCTTCTTCGCCGTGTTTGGAGTCGGATACTTTTGTACAGCGATTATTTTGATTCGTCTGTCTCGATTCCTTTCTGAGATATTTTGTAACCTAAATATTTTAATTCAGGGGCTGCAAATTTGCACTTTTCGACATTAACTTTTAGACCGGCCTCATTTAATAAAGAAAACACCTGTCTTAAATCCTGTACATGTTGGTCGAGATTATCACTAGTAATAATGATATCGTCTAAATAGATAAATGTGGACTTTCCAAGAACAGGCCTTAACACAATGTCCATACATCGCTGAAATGTTGCCGGTGCCCTGAAAGGCCAAACGGCATACGCAGGAATGCATAAGTGCCAGACTTGGTTATAAAAGCAGTCTTAGGCACGTCCTCAGGCCTAAACCCCTATTTGAAAATAACCAGTCGTTAAGTCTAAAGTCGTCATATATTTGGTGGATGTTATGTTCCTTAGAATTTCTTCAATAATAGGTAACGGATATACCGGATATTTAGTTATGGAGTTTAATTTACGGTAGTCAATTGCGAATCTCCACCTTTTTGGATGTGTCAATGGATAATCATTATTTTTCTTACATAAAACCACCGGGCTAGCATAACTACTTGAGATGGGCGTTATGATCTTTTTACGTAGCATATCGGTGATATGCCATTCTATAATTTTTTCCTTATTCTTATCATACCGGTATGCTTTGTGGCGAACTGGCATTGAATCTCCGGTGTCAATACTATGGTTAGTAACCTGAGTAAATCCTGGAATATCACTAAATAACGAAGCAAATTCACTTACCACTTGTCGGATTCTTCGTTGCTCTTCATTAGGCAGGTGGTCAAGGTTTAACATCGGCGGTTCAGCCTTTTCTTCACGAACTGGTTTCATCGTCAGCTTAAGGGACGCTTCATTAAAATCCAGCGTTGCTTGTGCCTCTGAAAGAAAATCTATTCCTAAGATAATATGTGCTTGCAGATTCTTTACTATGAAAAACATAACCTTTACTTGTTCGTCCTTGATACGGACATACAGCGGTAATTTACCTATACACTTACATCTTTCTCCTTGCGCCGCTAACACTGTCGTATTATCCGAATTATATATGCGGTATTTCCGAAAATACTTCCTAAAAAAATCTTCTGCCACACAGGAACACTGCGCGCCTGTATCCAGGAGTGCGGTGGCAGGGATATTATTCACCAACACTTCAATCTTCGGAAGAGTCAAATTTTTCACCATTACTGTATTTAACTTGAAGGAAAGGGTTTTTCGTGGCCTTCGGATTTCCGCACCCCTCCCGTCAGCAGAAATCCGTTTTAGTTTAAATTATTTTTTTCATTTCCGTGCTTTCCTTCTTTTTCCACTGGCCTTGAGACTTTTTTCCCTGGGTTGCTATTGAACTGTCGACGTTCGCCGGCTGTTTTGAATGCTCGGGTTTCCTTGCCCACTGATTCGCTTTGCTTCCGTAGCCGTGTGTGCTTGAGTTTGCTGTAGTCTTGGCGTACCAAATTGGTTTCGCTGTTGATATTGGCGTCTTCTTTCGACGTCCGCCGTTCTTCTACTTTCAAACTGGATTGCTAGCTCAAATAACTTTTCCAGTGTAGTCGGATTTCTTAATTCAATAAAGTCTTGCACTTGGGGCAGTAACCTCGGCAAAATCACTTGAATTATCTCAGGATCCGGACGGTTTCCATACAAGAGTTTGAAGACGTGAATTATTCTTAAAATAAAGCTTGAGAGATTTTCGATTCTTTGTTGATACATGCTGAAAATTTCCGTTTCTAATTTCGCACGATCCCTTACAACAGGGAAGGCTTTTAGTAGGGCAGTCTTGAAATTTTCGTAAGTATATGTGGGACTTCCTGCTTGAGAGACCCAAGAGACTTCTGCCTATACATTTGAACCAATTAAGCGCTTGGCCCCTCAAAGCGCTGGTAGCTAAGGTAACTTTTTGAAATTCGTGCACGTGGTAGAGCATGAAGTGGTCATCCAATTTTTCCAAAAAACTGGTTACCGGTGAGTTTCCATTAAATGTTGCTTCTGGTTTCATCGAAGCGCGCATGGTCTGGACGATGTAACCAAATCCTTCCAGGGCGGCAGCTGGCATTTCTGGATTCTGAGCCGCTTCTGCAGGCAGCACAGGTTCTTCTTGAAACTCGGCCATGGTTATTCTTCTTCGTTGGGCGCCACTATCAGGTTCAATGTTCCGTCTTACTTTCTTTGGGAACATGCAAGGACCTGACTCGGAACAGAGAGCTTACTAAAGCTATGTTCAATAACTGTGGGAAGTAGACAGGATACACAAGAAGGGTATAAAAAACCCTTTATTTTTCTCTCTTTACAATAATTTCCGTACTTCGGAATACAAAGACCCACTACTTGTGGTCTAAACGTAAGAATATAAAAATATAACTAAACTCTAACTTTGAAATAATGAACGTGGAAGATTGGCCTTATATTAACAGGAAGCCGCATGTAGTACAGAGAACTGTTAACACTACAATACGTTTAAAATTATCAAGAGGATTAAACCTCTGGCCTGGAAGGCAACCAGCAACTGAGTAAAACTTCTAAGGTAAGCGGCCTGCTTCGACTAACTCTTTCCTCTCTCTCGCTTGGCAAAAAGCCACAACTTAAGTACTTGGTGTTCGCCAGACAAATTTTACATAAATAAGTTAACGCTTATAATTCTGGCCGGAAGTAGAAAATAAGAAGTGATAATAAAGATTTAAAATAAAATAAACGTTAGTAAAACTTAAGATCCTTACAACTCAAACATGAATATTTTCGTCATTTTAAACACTTCTGTGATTGGGAGTATATTTTTACGACCAACGATTGCAAAAATAAAGACCGAGTAAGGACTTTTTAATTCAATTTAAAATCTGTTTTGGACGCAAAAAAGTAGTCAAAATGTATTCGGGAATGGTCAGAATGTATATTTCAGCTGAAATCTGATAACCGAAATTTTTTGCGATTGCAATACTTCCTTTACTTCGCATAAGAAAGTAAAAATTAACTTTTAGTTAAAATAAAAAAGTATAATTTTTTGGATCCTTATATTTATATTTATGAAAATTTTGTACTCCTTTTTAAAAATACGATACAAAACGTTTGACTTCCATGTGACGAAATTGAATGAGATGTTTAACTTTGCCATTCCTCGTGTTATTTTAAATTTGCGTTGAGGGACTGGTTAATAAATAAATTAGGATAATTCAGTTTTGATTTCTTCTCCTTAAATGCCTTTCAAAGATGTTTTTTCTGCTTTACTAATGTCTTTAATATATAATTTATTACATTTTTTATCCCGAAAGAAGTTTTGTACAGTTAATTATAAGTTTTCCAAGCTTAAATTTGCATTATTAATATTCTCATGAAGTTTTATTACTTTAGAATTATAATCTGGTAATCACAAATATTCATTAAAATACAAGTATTTTTTAATTTTAAATAATAAAAAAAATATTACGAGTTGGTGTGTGTCAATACAAAAGCCTACAGGTATTTTCTCGAACACGTATTCTGTAGGATTCTGTGAATAAGATCTCATTTTAGAAAAGAAATGTAGTGATGCATATTTTTCGCAATAAACACCTACTCTCTTAACATCCTAAATGTTTTTTCTAAACCTTTTTGTTTTAGTTACGCAAAAATTCAAACATTTCACTTATACGGCCTCTGAATTTGATGTTCGATTCTAATACCGAATATCTCTGTCAATTTTTATCGTACGGTTGTCATACGATTTGTGTTTCATTTTTTGCAACGAGTATAAAAATTTTACAAGTAACAGGACCGGAAGATGGTGTAAAAAATTAGATTTCAAAATTAGATTTTTAAATTTTAAAAATGCCAAAAAGGGAATACGTGCATCCTTTGAAACAGTTTTGTAATTGGAAGTATATTTATACCACCATCGGTTGTGAAATTAAAGGCCGGGTAACGGTTTTGTCGACACTGTACATTTCTTAAGTTTGGAAAATTTTTTTACAACCAAAATCAACTGATAAAAAAAAATGTGTTGTGCTAACTAATGTCCAGATTCATAATTGTAGGTTATCCGCCAAGCCGCACGTCAAGCACATGCCTTTTACTTCCTGACATACCGTATGGATATCTGTGTACCCTCAACATGTACCCAAGAAGATGTCAACAACATGGCCCAATTTGGTAAGTCACACGTACAAAATGCTAACAAAATTATAGCGCAATTTACCATTTTTAAAATCGAATATTTTGATTCAATATAAAGCTTTAAATTTAAGACGAGAATGTGCACGAACTACTTGAATAGTGGTGAGTGAGTAAATGGATATAACCCATTCTCCGATTATCCTCATTGGTTACATCGCGGTTGGAAACGTCGCAGAAGAAACATTATAATGGGAAAACGTCATCATACAAAACATCGTGAAAGAAACGAAAGCAAGGAGAAAATATCACAGTTCTAAAACATCGCGGTATGAAACATCGAGGTATAAAATGCAGAAGTACGAAAACTGTGTAGTTTTAAAACGTCGTTGTACAAAATATCGTGGTATAAAACACTGAAACATCATCATATGGTGGTAAAAAAGCAAATATGCTCTTTCTGACTATGAAACTTTTAAGTAAATTTTCAGATAGGTGAGCACAAGCAGAACTAAATAATACTTGTACCTCTATACTTGTATTAACTAGTAAGATTTAACTGGAAAAGGAAGAACGAGACCTGAAATCAATTCCAGCATTCAAAATCTGGAAATTAGTAAAAAATTGATGTTATATGTGTAGAGACATTAGGATATTTAATGTCAGGAAACGTGAAAAATGTTCAGTGTCCTCGCCTGGTCTCGAATACGCTTCGCGTATGCTTACAATTACACTACGAAGGCATGCGAAAAGGAGGGAGAAAGTACCTTATATGAATATAGCCCCCCTTTTAAAGGACGCCTGGGGATTAAAGGATCCAGTCGTCAAATTCTGGTAGTGATGAATTATCGTCCACTTCCTTCTAGCTGAGGCACCACTTGTAGAGTCATTAAGATTTTTTATGTTAAAAAATGTGAAAAATGTGCAGTGTCCTCGCCGGGACTCGAACCCTGAACCTCTCGAATACGCGTCGAGTATGCTTCCATTTACACCACAAAAGCCTGCGGAAAAGAGGGAGAAAGTACCTTATGTATGCAGCAGTTAATAGAATTTCGAATTATGTCTATTCACTTTTCTAATTTACTTTATGCTTTATTTTTTCATTTAAATCTACTAATACGGTTTTATAAGAGTGGTTACTTAAATAATGACTTTTATTAGTTAGCAATATAAGTTTAAAATTTTATTCATTGCTATGCGTAGCATTAATTTTTAATAATTTCCGAATTTTCAATGCTTATGTTTATGCCTTTTTTGAATTTTGAGCAAAACATTATTGGCTAATACAAAAATGCGAAATATTAGGGGTAGAAATATTACTTGCTGTTTCCTCGGCTAACAAATCATTATTGAAAATTTACTTAAAATTTCTATAGTCAGAAAATGCATGGCTGCGATGTTATCGTGTAATGATTTGTAATTGGTTTATTATCTCGCGATATTTTGAACTACGATGTTTATGACTGTTGAACGTTTTGCACCGCTTTACTGTCCTTCACAATGCAATGTTTTCTCCTTGCTTTCATTTCTTCCACGATGTTTGTACGATGATAGTTTACCTATGCATTATTTTCTCCGTGATGCTTTCTTCAACGATGATTTTGGCAGACATATGTTCATTTTGTGGAATGTTCATTCGCATAGATTACTACAGCTATAATTTTAAACCGTCCCTGAGCCCCTTACGAAATCGCGTAACGTCGTAAAAAATTTTTGAGAATACAGAAATTTACTAATTTTTGAATAAAAATATTTTATAAATATTAAATTAAAAAATATTTATAACTTATAATTAAAAAAAAGATGAAACTGTTATACACTATGTATGCAGATCAGTCTCACAAATTTGTAAGCTCAGTTTGGCGTGAGTTTTCCTTATCTTCCATTGCAGATGGAAAATTCAGCTGTTCTTCACATTCTTCAGTATCTGTATTTTGATTTTATAACAAGTCCAAGTTTCAAGGAGCTGTTTAAGGTGTCTTCAAAATTCTTTAAAGAGGCCTTCTTCTTCTTCAGGACGGTCCCGAAGTGTTTTCTTGAAATCACTGCATAATAAGCTGTCCCTTTACCTTACCTTACTGAGGTGCTACTTGCTTGCCTATGACTTCGACCATTTCCCGATTCTAATTAAATACATTTTCGCTTTAAGAAATGTCTTCTTAGTCTAATTTCCCGTTCTCCAGGAGATCTTCAGTTGCTGTAGTTATTGTGTTTCCATGATTTTCACCAGAAGTAAATTCGAATTGATCTTTCTCATGTTGTTGGTCAAGAACGATTATCAATCTTTTAGTAGTAGTATAATACTAATAAATAAATTTATTAGCGTTTAGTCGCGAACACTATGATTAATTATTGCTGCGAACTAATCCACAATATCATTTAAATTCTGAGAGCATATGTAAATAAAGTGCAAGCATCTAAATCCATTAATATGTAAGATAATTAATATATTTTATATAGAATATTAATATATATATATATATATATATATATATATATATATATAATATATATATATATAGATATATATATATATATATATATTTAAATATATAATATTCCAAAAATATTAATCCTAAAAAGTTTTATAAAATATTTCTAAGACTACATTAATTTGCATTAGTGAACACTCAATTCGTTGTTCGTCATTCATATAGGCATGGGTATAGTAATGTAAAACCAAAAGTATTAAATCAAATGTAGTGAATTACTAAAAACTTTTAACGAAAGGAAATTTGAGAAATTTAAAAAACAAGTTGACAAAGAATCAAAATAATAATTAAATGTAAATTGCCAATGTAAAAAAAGAGTAGAAAACCAAAGTAATTTAAAAACCTTTGCCTATTTGAAAACTTCCCAGACACGAATTATGCATGTAAAACTAAAATAAACTATATACAATCTAAAAAAAATACAGAAATAATACTAAAAAGGCAAGTAAATATTAAGTTTTAATTTTACTTACGAAACTATATTTGTATTTTGAAGAGTGGAGCAGCATTTGCTAAACTAAGTGAGATTGAGTAGTTTGTTTCTGCTAATTGTCTAAATAGAGGGCGATAATATAAGGTAAAGTTAAGTGTTAAGCTGCTACCTGTTAGATCTATTGTAAAAACCTATTCTCTAAACTCTTAAGTAGTGTAAAATGTGTTCTGTGTGCAAAAATGTTGTTAACTGTGAAGCATTGTAAAAATGTGTAAAACAAAATTAAAAAAATGCTGACTGTTACGGTTATGTGAAAATAGAGTTGTAAACTATTAAGGATTGTAAAAAATCAAAAATGATTTTGAAATAAAGTTCAAAATAATTATTTAAATTTAATTTAACTTTGCTATTTATTCTTATATATATATTAATAGCCCCAGATGCAACATTTCAACTTTTTACGGTTAATCGTTTTTGAGTTATGAGAGGTACATGTATGCATACATACAGATGTCGCAAAGAAATTCATTTTGATTCCATTTTAAATCCATTTTATGATATATTTTGAAAAAAAAAAAATGAGTCGTTTACTCTGTCCATTCGTACAGACATCACGCAGAAATATCATTCAAATAGAATTCTGGAACGATCAAAGTAGATATTTCAGTTGAAATACTATACCCGGAACTTTTTGCGATTACAATACTTGTGATGCCACTATGCCATAAAATCATACCATGTAGTGAACTTTTGCAAAGGCAAGGGCGGATCATCTTCTCTTGTGGATTGCTTTCACGCCAAAAACGATAGAACGCGCGATGTCCACGTTGTGTATTCACAAAAGAAAATTTATTTTATGAAGTCTCGTGTTCTTTGGTAGCATCAAATGTACGAAAAACCTTAAACTTCTAAAACCTTAAGTGAATTATCAAGCGTATCTTTTAAAGTAACACATAGACTGAGAAAGCCCGTAAAAGATCCTTTTATTAATTCAAGTGCAAGTTTAACAGACGGCACCACTCTTGCTTAAAAAGGGCCAGCATTTATGGCTTAGATCAAAAATCATGAATTTGACTTAACTTAATAAATGTAATAATGTTAGAGCAACGGCTACACACATAGAGAAACGCTTAAGTTGGAGCTGAGACGAAGTCGAAGTGACAAGCCTAATGGCGAGAATAACGCAACGCCGCAGAATACAGCTCTCAAGAGAATGAAATTAGCAACACAGGCGATACGCGCTCTAATTCTATCCTCTAACACCTTCCTTTAAATACCACCTCCTTTCTAGCTCATTTGAATACACGCGAGCTAGAAATTTATTTCCGGCAGGAAAAGGGGAAATCAAAAGGATAGAAAAGTAAATTAACATAAAATAACTGATTAGTGAAACTAAATGAATCCTTACAATGTTCATAAAATTATAATAATAACTAAATGTTCTAGAAGCGTGTGTTTAGCCAGGATGAATTGTCACAGCATACTAAACACAACACAATTAGTGAGAGAAATAACATTTAAAACATGGTTGCCATTTAGTTTAAAAATCGTATCATTCTTACTGGAATACCCCTTGTATTATGATTTTATAAAACTGGATGTTATATTTTGTTGGCCTTAAGCAACAATGATAAATTTGAGAAAAAAAAAGCATTCTTTCGAGAAAAACGCGAAATCATAATATCTGCTCTAAAATTCTACCGTATTCATTTTACAGAATATGCAAATTTTCGTTCCCTCTTAATGTACAGTATCGGAAATTGAAATCAAAATGGATATAAATGAAAATAAGAATATGCAGATTCTTGGTTTGGGCTTGGTGCTGATGACTTATAAACCAATCAATACTAACAGATTATGAGATTAAATTTTGTGTTTAACTGACCTATATTTTAATGCCTTACATTACGCACACACAGGATCCTTCAGCATTAAAAACTCTTCATTGATATTCACAGAGAGCAAAATTGACTTATTTTTGTATGTCATTTAAAAACTGACATTTTCGTGTACATCGTAAATCTAATCAACCTCCAGGGTAATTCCAAGTCAAAGGCTCTGGTTTCGAATTTTAAAGAAGTTTTTGAAAAAAAAAATAAGAGAAGTATTTTGTC